GTGTGGTTGCAGTTAAGCGGGAATTTTAGCCACGTACAAACTTGTAACAATATCGATAGGCACATTTACACAAGATTTACTTTAGTGGCCAGCCATAGAAATTTGATCAATCCCTCTTAACAACTCAACATCAATGATCCAATAACAACAAAATAATTGATAAACAAGATAAAATCACACGTGAAAGCATGCTAACAGAGAATAGGGGATCCATCAACAACATTCATCAAGCTATTATAATAAGATGAGATAAGAACAAAAAAAAGAACCTTTTATAGATACGTCTGAGCTTCGATTCCTTGACAACTTTTGAAGCTCAAATACCAACAAAACTGCGTACAGACCTCAACAGAAACTCGACCAAATCGTCGGAAACTCGAAGCCGACTTAGGAAATTCACTAAACTCCGGTGACTTTACACGACTGAAATGGAGCTTAAACTGCAGCTCTTTCAGTGATGTAAGAAGCTGATTTTCGGACTGCTTTAGTGGAGGTTTTGTTACGTTTTTTGGACTGTTTTGGGGACTATTCACGAGGGAAAAGAGCTGGCCGGAGATGGTAAAAATCCGGCGAAATGCCGGCGATAGTGAGCTAGCAGAGAACGATTTTTTATGGCTTCGAACAGACTGGTTTTTAGGAGTGGAATAGAGCTTAAATAATGAGATGCTCTAATGGCTGCTTTGTGTACTACTTTGGAGCCACGTTAATGGAGTAATGAAAAGAGACCCGTGAACTCCATTTTTTGTGAGCTTTTGCTGAACTCCATTTTCGTGTGTTCAACCAGCTCCCTTTTTTCTCGTTTCTTTCTGTTCTCTTTTCTATTTGTGTGTGTGGCTGTTTTTTTTTAGTGTGTGAAAGATCTCATGACTCAAAGGATCTCTTGAGGAAATTCAGGAAATTGGGGTGCTTCCTTTTCTTTTTGAAGACAGCAGCGACTCCCCTTTCTTTTCTGGTTCCTCCCCCTTTTTTGTGTGTTGTGTGTGTGTTTTATAACTGAAAATGGGGTATGGAGTTTGTGATAGGAGATAAGCATGGGGGACAAGGAGTGGGGAACAATGGAGAGAGTAGGGAGAAAAGTGTGGGGGGTCAAGCATGGGGGACAAATGAAAGTGGAGTGGGGACATGCCTGAGAAGATGGGAGCGGAAAATATTCAAGCACGGTAAAAAATTAGGTGCTCACAGTGTTTTCGTTCAGATTTATCTTTACATGAAAATTAACTAGCTTTTGATTACTTTTAAAAATATGATTATTTTTCAATTATTACTTGTAAATTTACTATTTTTGAATTTCGCGCCGTCGGACCTCCACAAAAAGTGGGTGAAGCCCAAGAAACTCAGTCGGCCATTTCATTGATACTTGTCAAAATCTATAAAACTTCTCGAGATATGCAAGAAAGTTATTGTTATTAATTTAGCATCGTCAAATGTTGATGTTATGGTCTTTTATGGTATGTGACTTGAGTCTCTCCCACCTCAATAGATAACTTTTGGGTGTCGTTCTCCTTTGATTGTATCAATTGAATAACATTGTGATTTTTAGATTGTTTTCGTGATTTCTAGATTGTTTTCTCGTTGGGGGTGGAAAGGGTAGTGGAGTTTCAATTTCATGGCGTTTCATCTATAGAATTTGAAACTCTGTAACAGTGGTTATTTTAAAAAATAGGGCAGAAAGTGATCAGTGGCCGCTATTTTACACATTTGTTTGATCAGAGCGAGCCATGCATGTTGTGACATGAGCCGTTGAAGAGGTCCAGTAACTTATAGATCTATTTGCCTTTGCATGGATATGTACTTCCCTACTACAGGAGGAGTGCATTACTGAATAGTGAATTGTATAATTCAAGACTTCTGCAAAGCCAAAAAGAATATACTGATTCTGTTACATTTCTTTCTCTATTTAATAAAAGGCCATTTTTGGATGCTGTCACCTTCCGAAAAGTAGTGATAAGAAAGGAGTTCTAACCAATGTCAGATATTTGAGAGGATGCTTAATTTTTTTTTTTTTATAGTTAATTAATAAAGCACAATTAAAGAGCCTTTATAGTTGTAGAACAAGAAACTATTATTTCTAGACGCAAACGTTTTATTTCCTACCAGTAAAGGTTCGATTCTAAGGATACAGAATACTATTAAGTCAGTCTCTTTTAGGCAATTATAACAATGGTCTAATAAAATAACGAGGTGCTTTAAGTTGTTTTTTAAATTTCTAGTTGGGCACAAATATACACTTGAGGTATTATTTAGTATATCTATTTTTACTATTTCTCACCAATTGATATTGTGTAAGAAACAACACGACTTGGACGAATGGCAAAGTCAGACATTTTAACGAGAGGATTCAAAAAAAGGCAAGAATGTCACATAAGGAATTTGTACCTATGACCAAAAACAGTTTTTAAATTAAACCACCTTTTATGCAGCGCTAAATACTAGAGATCAAACAATTCATACACATATATTTGCACAGTGTAATTTTTGATGAAGGGGTTTCAATTCAACTCCCCTCATTACGTGTAGCCCCGGCCCTGATTTGGACTGGCTAGTCATAATTGATCTTTGACAGGATGCATTTGTGTAGTCTGTCTCTCAAAATACTGGCCGTTCATATTCCAATTACTAGCATGGGGCATCTTTTTGTTCGTCGGCTCCAGTCTCAGTTCTGTGTTCAACGATTTAAAGTTGTTCTCCTTTTCAAAATCCTTCACATGCATTTCAATGGTTACCTTTCAAGCCACGCATTGATATGGAAGGATCGTATCTTGTGATTTGACAGACACTAAGCTGTCCAAATCTAGATTCGGTATATATAAATTTGAGTGGTTCAATCTTTAAACTTCTTAACATTGAACACATTATAATTTTGACATTATGGATTCAAAATTTGATACTTATTGAAATTTTGTAGTATATTATATTCGTGGTCGAAAATACTAGGTTGATCAGTTGAACCCAGGCAGCGTCGGCCTGACTTTCTCCCTCGTGATAATTTTAGACCAATATGTTACAATCAGTTTAAGAAGTTAAGTGTTCTGGTGAAGTAAGTGAACCAGTGAAAAATCATGATCATCACTATACACTGGTCAACACTGCCCTCAAGAAAAAATCTAAGAATTGTGGTTCTGACAAGATGTCAGAGTTTTGAGTGGCGCCCAATTTACGAATATCTGATGTCATTGGCATCTAAGAAGTATCAATGAATAGAATATTTCAGAGGAATGCAACTTCTAGCTGCTTATCATTGCATATGGGGTTAGTCACCTATGTTTGTACTTCTGCTTATTAATTTTAGTATAGTATTTATGCATGGAAAGTGTATAACTACATAGAATTAAGTCCAAGTGATTTATGTTTTCCTTTGACTCTAACAATTGTGTTATTTACTTAAGTTCTATAAAAATATTAAAATCCTGGTCAGTGAGAATTCGTACGACTGATCCCAACTTGTTTAATTTAAAGGGAGCGAGATGGATATATAGCTTATCTTAACTTGCTTGAGATTGAGTGCATTGTTATTGTTGTGATCATAAACCAAATCTTGACTAGCATTTTTGCTGTTCTTATGTTATAACGAAATTGTTACTACCTTTTTTCACAGGATTCAGACTTACTTTGTGAAGAATCATTTGAAGCCTTGGTGGTTTTGAGAACAAAAGTACTCAAGTCTTTATGCTTTCACTTGCATTGTGACCATTCCTTTTTTTTGTTGAACATTTGGAGCATTACTGTTAGTAAACAGAAGCTTGCATTATTGTACTGTTGAAGTAAATGTCTAAATAGTAAAGACACTTAAATTGGTACGGACTCTTGAAAATTAGCCATTTCTTTTCCTAGGCTGTAGTATGTGTTAGGTTGACTGTGTAGGAGAATCTTGGGACTGGAACCAGAAGTGACAAACTGTGAAGAAATGACTTAAAAAGGTAATCATGTTACAGAAAGTTTATGCCTCTTTTCGGACAATAATGTCAGAGATTTGTGATATCAGCATAGTGATTTTCTTCTCTTGCTTTATTGTGGTTATACACTAATCAAGGTTTCAAAATGCGTTACTTCATTTCAGATTTTTTGTTAAGACACGGTGGCGAATCTCTCACATAACATCACAATTTCAAAAGCAAAATCATTAACAAGATTTCCTGTTCAAGAAAAACCAGCAAATCTTCAAAGCTTATATTGATTATAGGTGCTTCATCTATCTATGTTTCAAGTTCTAATGTGTGACTTCCATTCTTATTATGTTTGATTGCTTTAAGATTCAACTATGTAATACTGTTGAAATTTATCCCCTGGCCCCTGGCATTGATAGAGTAATTTTTCTCACGTTCCTTAGATTTTAGAACAAGCTAATGTTTCTCGAAATTGGTCTTTTCTTATAGAAAGGATAACAATTGTTTTCTCCTTAAAGTCTTAAGTATTTTCTTTGGATGTACGTAATTCAGATTCTTTTCACCTTGTGTTATCCATATGATGAGCATGGGCTGAAGTGTTTTAGACTTTAATGTCATACAAAGTGCATCTTGAACTTCAAATCATATCTAATATTACATGAAGTGGCAACTTCCAGTTCCACTTGACATCATAAATTAACTAAAGATCAAGAACAAACAAATTCTGTTAATTAGTTCAATGGAGAGTGCAATTTGATGTTATTTCTCTACAATGTAGATATACGAATTCGCACAATTTCAATCAAATAACTCTCTCATATTCTTAATTTATAACATGCTATAAGCATACTTTCATCATATTGTGGTTGTGCTTCTCAAGTTATTGCTATTTAATGAAATTCATGCATGTTAAAGTTCCTTTTGAAATTTAAAGACTCTCACAGAAGCAGTGCGATATATAGGGCTGTGGTCATAGGTTGACTAGTGCTAAACTGCTAACGAATGCTTGATATTAATCTTCTTTTATATGGCTAGAAAATTCCGCGGCTTATTGAGTTGTCCACTTAATTGTGCTGCAGAAATTACATTCAATAGTTTCAGATAGGTAGAAAATCAAGACAGGAAATATGATATCATGAATATTAATTAAAGAATTCATACATTGAGTCAATATTTTTCTTTGCATCTTGATACAATAATCTATATCTTAAAGAGCTAGCCTTCTCTTAAACTTACATGTGCAGAGAAGGCATAAGGAACATGTGAAGTTAATAAGCTATTCACATTTACATTAGCTACAACCAACTTTTCATTTTCTATTCATTCTGCATATTTACCCATCTCTGACTCTTTATCTATCGTAGAATTATCCGTTGCTATCAGTTGTTATGAAACTGATACTGCCTTTTGGAAAATTCTCTGACCAGGAGCAAGCATAGCTAAAGGGTCATAAGCAGATTTCCTCTGTATAAATACTTCCCATTTTGGACCAAAGTGGGTCCTCCACTGTTCTTGTGTTGTGTAATGAGGCAAATATTGCTTGACTCCTAGGTGTGCCACATCACAGAAGTCTAATATTCTTTTGTTCTGAGTTAAGACATATTCTAAACTGTCAGTTCCATTGGATGAAGGATTTGCATGGGATAAAAATGCCACTAGGTAGATAATATCATCGTTTGGAGAAACAAATGAGGTTCTGTTATCCAACCTGAAAAATAAAACCAAAGTAACATGTCAATTGATTGGAAAAATTAAGTACTAGATTTTTGTATACGACGAAACACGTAATATAAATGAAAATTACTTTGATTTATGAATGGGGTAGACAAGAACAGGGCCATTGTTAGTATCTCTTAGGATGTTGCCAAAAACTTCCTTAGCAAAGTGTTGTATTTTGCTTTTGGGAACTAGAAGATTGAGCCATGGGTGTGGGAGATCCCATAGTCCTTTCGATCGAAGTTTTAGCTCTGATGCATGAACTCTGTCCAAAAATTCTATGTATGGAACTTCTGACATAAATAGTGTTGATGGGATATAACTTAGTTGCGATAATAAGTCTTTAATTTCCTGCATGAAAATGAAACAACAAGCATTTATATTAGAATTATTTCATCAAATAGCCAGGATATTCTACTAGATTTTCAATTTATGAACATGTCTTACCTGGTTTACTGTATCCGATTTTTCGGGGTATAAATTTTTGGTAAGTTCAAGGCAATAGAGTGTTCTTCCATCTGATACAAAATGGCTAGCTTGAACAGGATCTTGAGGGTCAAAAGATGCTCTCCAGTTATTCATTAGACCTGTTTTGTTCTTTATCACCAGCCCTTCTATGTAATCAAATGTTTTTGCAGCAGATATCAAATGCTCTTGGTCTCTAGCAAATGTGGAGAAATCAGAGTACAACACTCTTATCCATTTCACCTGTTAATTAAAGAAAATCACATGTTAAATAAAATTCTAATGGTTTAACTCGCATATTCTTGAAGTCTATGGTGTATTTTTACCATTTTTGGGGCTCGTTCCAGAGAGATTCTTGCTCTAGTTATTATGCCAAACTGTCCAAGTCCTCCCAAAACAGCATGGAATAGGTCTGCATTCTGTTCCTTCGAACAAATTAAGACTTCTCCTTTTCCTGCAATGAGTTCAGTTCATGTACGTTATGTCAATAAGTCCACGTGTTGAATTTCTTTTTTCAAATTATGTGATGTTTGTTGATTGAAAATGAGTGGTCTTTGCATATTTGGTGTAAATAAAGGTCAGGCTACAACTTGTACTATGAGAAACGTTTGCAGCTTGTTAAGTTTAGTCTTCAATAACTAACATATCATACCAGACCAAAAAAACAAAAAAAGGCAATAACTTGTGTAAGTTGCCTTATGACCGTTTTCTCATATTCCATCATACCGCCTTTTACCAAATCACTGCCATATCTTTAGTACTAGTATTTTTCTTTTTTCCTAATATTAAATCTCCATAATTGGTAATTGTAGAATATTATTCTCGTCTGAAACCAAAGGTTGGGAAAATTTTCAAACCTGTAACAACCTCCAGCTGATGGACATTACTGATCTGAGGGCCGTGTCGAAATGCTTGCCCACTGATGCCAGCATTAGACAGTGTACCTCCAACAGTAAGATGGAGGTAATCAGTCCAAGATTTTGGTGCTAATCCATATTTCAAGGTTTCATGCAATATATTAATCCACAATTCACCAGCTGAGACATCTACATAAGGGAATTGGCCCCTGTGGACCTGCATTCCTTGACCCTGGAATGACTCCATATTGATTATAACTCCTCGTCGCGCTTGTGCCTGGCCCTGAAGCGAATGACCGTGGCCTCGTGCTGCCACGGTCAATTCAGAACTCGGACCCATTTGCCAAACATGTTTTATTATTTCTGAAATATCAGCAACGGATTTCGGATGGACTACTGCTAAAGGGTGGACATGAATTTGATTGCCGAAATCTCGGGCTGCAAACTCATTGTTTTCGAAAGTAATATGGCCTTCTAAATGAAGGGCTTTCAATGAGGACAGGACACTGGAAAAACAAAAATTTGGTTTGATAATTACCCAGCTTAGCACTAAAATTGTGAAGCTTCTTAGGAACAGAACGTTCTTTTTTCTGGTGAAAACAAAGCTTTGGCACGTCATCTTTTTGATAAAGGAAATTAAAAAAAGGATATTTTTTCCTGTTGTTTTGTTTGTGTTATTTCTCTCGAAGTAAAATAGTAGACAGAAGAGCAAAGAGTGAAGAGTTGAAGAGGAAATATAAAGGAGAAGATTTAAGATTATATGAGTGGGAGAGTCAACCTATATTGAGTGGTAAGAATCCGTATGAAGACCGTCTACTTTAGGTGGGAGAATTTAAGGGATTTTCTTTTGAGTTCCCTTTTGTTTGGGTTCTTTATTTGGTTTATATAAGAGTATAGAGAAGCCAGCCATCACATATTGCCAAGTTGAAGAAAAAGTCATCAGAAAAGAAAGATTTCCCCAAATCTTTGCACCTTTTTCTCACAGTTCCTTCCACAGTTTTACCTTTTCCATTAAAGACAAGTTATGTCTCTTANGGTTAGAAAGTGATAGTTCACTTGCTTTTATTTTACCCCTATAAATTTCTTTCTAGAAAGAGCATTAAAATAGCGATAAAGTTGTCTCCGTATGACTTATAAGCCATGAGTTCGAATCGTAGAATCAGTCACTAATACTTGCATTTGGAAATGCTGCTTTCCCCTTAGGGTGCGACCCTTCCCCGACTTTAGGTGAATGGGGATGCTAAATTTCTATCTACTTTGGTCAATATAAAGTATCTATTAGTATTCACTTGGATACCTTTAATTTTAGTGGCATTTTCTTGAAACCCCGTTTGCTGTTGAAAGGCAAACGTTGCGTATCTATATTCAGATTGAAGAAAGGGACGCTGCACAACGATGGATGGCATCTAAGAGGTCCACGTGATATATGTAGAAAATTTCCAAGAAAATGAGTGCCTTTTGTATATGAAAGGGGAAATGCTATTTTTTTTATATAATATATTTTTTTGTGTTTGGGACCTCTTATATTAAAGGAGCCAATGGTCATGTGCTCCAAAGAAAGAAATGTTGTTGCCTAATGTTTTTGCTGCAAATGCATAATAGTATTGATGCCTTAGTTCCCAACAAATGGACAAACAGAGAATCATTCTTTTGTTTGTGTTTGTAAATTTGCCCAAAAAGCCAGTAATTCTGTACTATGATGATAAACCAATTCCCTTTCTGTTTTAATGACTTGTTTATGAAACATTGGTTTTATGCTGATCTCTAATCTATTCTACTTTTTAATGGATGACTTCGAAGAAATTCTCTCTATCTCTTTCATTTTTCTGGTCTTTGGATCCTTTAACAGGCCAGAGAATCAAAATGAGATTATTGCAATAAGAATATGGATTCTATTCTTTCTTTAAAACATACATATTTTGCTTTTGTGAATTCTTGACAGTAGCAGGGTTAGATTCAGAGATATGGTTCTTACATTGTTTGATTTGGGGGGATTATATTGTCTTTGCATTGTAGGCCATGAAATGGATGGAAGATCCGTGAAGGTATATTTTCATCATTTGCATCTTGAATAAAGCTAACACGATTAGATTTGATGGAGGGTTAATATTTAATTGAATTCTTTGGAAAAATATATGAATTTGAAAAGCCAAGTGGAAATATATTCACTTGTTACTTTACTCTAGCACAGTAGCACTCTGATGTTATATTCTCGCCTTTTATTCCAATTATCCTTTACTACCACGGTTATGGAAATTGAGAATGTGAGTTTTCAGGGCAAGGAGAGTGGAAGAGCCGTTCTCAAGGTAAAGTTTTGTTCAGCACGAAGCGTTTTATCCTTAAAGTAAACTTTTTTATACGAATCCAAATTAATCGGACTTTAAAGCGATTAGGCGACAACAAGTAAGAAACCAAAAAAAGATTAGCACAAGAAAAAACAAGCATTGCATGCTAGTTCCAATCAAGATGTTCCATAGTTTCTTATTAAGTATAATTAAGTTTCAACTTCTTATTTTGAACTGAATATATATGAAAGGGCTCGAAAATTTCATTCCAAAAGTTCATAATAGAGTATTCATACCAAAAGTTCATGTTAAATCTTTCACCATTTTTCCAGTTATTTCACAAACAAATTGCTTATTTGGGACCACTGAAGTGTGAGAAAAACACCAAAGTGATTTGTAGTAGACAAAAAAAGCATGGTAACCTAAAAGAGACCCATCAATGTCTCCATTAAAATCCAGTTTACACTTAATAATGAACATAAATAAGTAGTATTAGATTGTTATAATCTAAAATAAGATTGCACTCAATTCCCTCAGATTATGCATGGGACTAATAAGATCTCTATCCAGTGTGAGATGAGAGAGAAGTAGCTAGTAGAATAACCTAGTCATATCAATTACTAATATTTATTAGTAGAATAAACCTAATCCTTAGTGCATTTTATGCATGCTTTCTAGAAGAGGAGAGCCGACCATTAATAAAGAAATCATAAAGCTATTAAAAGGAAGCTTTTTAGGGCCAAAAGAACAAAAAGGAGTTCAAAAATGTTTAATTACATGAGAACAAACTTTTTAACACGTAAGTGCGTGTGTTTTGGTTTAGAATCAAGTTATATAGGAATTAATAATATAGAGATTGTAATGCGAGATTAGTATCCGGTAATACATAATGGAGTAAAACAAAGAATGTAATGTGTGAATTAGTACTGCAAGGATTATAATACAGATTGTAATGTAGGGGCTATTTGTTATCAGATATTTGGTTTCTTGTATTAAAAATTATTATACAATATATACTTAAAGATATATTTTTATTTGTTCAACAAAATAAAATAGTGGTTACTACATGAAGGATTATTTTTTTGATTTAGTTATCCTAATCCATGTGTTATCAATTTTGTGAATTTTTATTTCGTATTTTACCATGCATTAAATTGAAATATATAATACATAGATCCCAATAAAACTTATGGTTGTATTAGTTGTACGGAAAAAAATTGAAACTAAATATTATAATGAATTATACTAAGTTTGTTTGGAAAAAACATCAAACCTAACATTATATAAAACAATGTTAATTTTATATGAAATTTATTTTCTCTATTACGTACTCCAACCAAACATCACCTAAGAATTTTCTCTGTTGTTAAAGAAAATATGCAGGGGTTGGGGTAGAGGAGACAGTACAATTAAGTGAATTACTTTAAAGGAATAAATGACTTTTTTATTCGACAGAGGAATGGCTTATCAAAATTTGTGTGTATCGGGTTATTATTGTACTGACCCGATCGGTTATTTTACTTTCTAGATCCCCGTTTTCCTAAATAAGATTCTCCATATCTGCATTTAGTGTTTTATGACTTGCGAGGATGGTAAGTTTGAGATTTGGAAGGGTTCGGGTTGAAATCGGAACACTTAGTTCCTTAATATTGGCTTTAAAGGGGTAAGTTTGACTTGGTTCAACATTTCTAGTAAACGATCTCGGAACTGGGATTTCACGGTCCTAATAGATTCGTATGATGATTTTGGACTTGGGCGTATGTTCGGATCAGGTTTTGGATGACCCGGGAGCGTTTCGGTGCATAAAGTTGAAAGTTGGCACATTGAAGGTTTTAAAGTTCTTTAAATTTGGTTTGGAGTAGGTTTTGGTGTTATCGAGATCCGTTTGAGATTTCGAACCTGGGAATAGTTCTATATGGTTATTTAAGACTTGCACACAAAATTTGGTGTCATTCCGAGGAGTTTAAGTATGATTTGGCGCGTTCGGAGCAAGTTGGAAGAACTTGATGTTCATAAGTTGATTCAATTTAGTTTGGGGTGTGATTCTTAGTTTTAGTATTGTTTTCCGTGTTCCGAGGGTTCGAGCAAGTCTGTCTCATGATTACAAATTTGTTGGTATGTTTGGACAGGGCCTCGGGGGCCCTAGATGCCATTCGGACGATGCGCGAAAGTCGTTTCGCCTTGGATGAACATTTGAAGCATCAAGCTTCTAGTGCAATCGCACTTGCGGAGGGCCAGCCGCAGGTGCGAGCTCGCAGAAGCGAGCCAGTAGCCGCAGAAGTGGCCCAATGTGGGCAGCCCAGAAATTGCAGATGCGGGACATGGTGCACACCTGCGAACGCTGAAGCAACCCCAGAAGCCGCCAAAGTCGTAGGTGCGGCACGCGCGTCACAACAGCGGTCCCGCAGAAGCGGGCCTGCGGTTCGCAGATGCGGAAGAGGCCAATTGAGGGAGAGCCGCATCTGCTATCCTTTCTCCACAGATGCGGTCATAGAGCCGCAAAAGCGGAAGTCCCGGAGGCAGTGAGGTTCATTTAATACAGGACTTAGGCCATTTTTGACTCATTTCTTTCATTTCCTGGGAGATTTTGGAGCTTCTTAGAGAAGGGTTTTCACCTAGCTATTGGAGGTAAGTGATTTCTATCAAATGTAAGTTAAATACATAGATTATAGGTAGATTTTAACATGTAAAATTATGGGTCTAGATAAAAAACCTAGGTTTTAATAAAAATGGAATTTAACCACGAAAATGGTTATGGAATTTGGTAAAAATTATATATTTGAGTTCGTGAGGTCATGGGTAACAATTATCTTCAAACATTTCCGGAATTCGGGCACGTGGGCTTGGGGTAAATTTTAGGAATCTTCCAATAGGGGTTGGGTAACTACTCTAATAGTTAGATTACGAACTTTCGAGCATGCATTGATTAACTTATATAACATTTGACTAGTTTCAGATTGTTCGGCACCAAGTTAAGGCTTTAGAGTGAATTCGAGGCCAAAAAGCGAGCTTTGAGACAAGGTAACTCTCTTGTCTAATCTTATAAGAGGGAATTTACCCCATAGGTGATTTAAATTATTATTTGCTTCTAATTATGGGGGCTACGTACGCACAAGGTGATGAGAGCCCGTGCGTAGCTACTAATTATGCTTATATCCGGGTAGTTTAGGACCCAAATCATAAAATTAATTAAGTGCCTAAATTATATTGAAACTTGATAAAGGAATTGTAAAAGATCAAATTTTACTTACTTGAGTTTTGGTGGGTTACTTGACTGTTAATAAAAATCATCCCTCTTTGTGTATTAGTCTTGTAATAACTTTTAAATCGGATGTTCATAAATTATCCTCTCTTCTTGTGGAGCGGGCCGAACGCCTCGGCAGTATATAAATACATCTATGGTTCGTACCGCACGACCCTCGACAATGTACACATTATTCTAGATCGGGTCGTACGACCTCGGCATAATCGTACATGAAAATACTCAAAGTTTAATTATATTTATTTCCTACTTGTTATTGAGTTAATATTATTACTGTGAGACCCCGGGTGTTTCTCTCTTCTCTTACGTAATATACGTA